TGTACGCGTCTTAATTTCTTATTGTAAATTGAGCAATGTTAAAGATGCTTTCAGCTTTGTGAGTCTCAACATATCTCAACAAAGTAATTCAAGTAAAGTCAGTTTCCTAAATTTACATTATTCCCTTACTTCCTCCAAGACATAGAGACATAACACTATTTGACACATGCTTTCTTCATATTCTCAATATAATATAATATTATATTATATATTATATTATATAAAATAAACTCTATTAAGAAGAAATAATTTAATCCGAATCAACAACCACAGTGTCGATGCTTTTCAAATCACGAATAATTTGGTTAAAATTATTATTAGTTTATGAATGGATTACATTTTATGAATTGGCATGATAATAGACAGACTTTGTCAAGTGTCTACTTTCAAGAGTCTTTTTTTTTAATGTTTGTGTTTTTCTCTCAAAAGTCTTCTTCTATCACTTTCATTTCAAGTTTTTATTTTGTTTGACATAAATTTCACTCGAAATTCTTCTCCTACCACTTTCATCACACAAACGTAAAAAAAATACTCAACTATATAGTTTTTTTCCATTATCAATTTCATTTTATATTTTTTATGGTGAGAAGGTAAACACCTTCACGTATTACAAACTGAAGTTACTTTTGTCAACGCATTTCTCAACATGTCTAACTTGAGAAATATTATATACTTAATGCCAATTTATCAATAAAAGGTTATCTTTAATAAATAAAAAATTAACTATACAAAATTGTTAATTACAAAGAATATTACTGAATGTGAAAATATTGAAATTTAAAACAATTTTTAAGAATTATTATGTCTAACAAATTTGCTCTAAGAGAATTTTAGGTTGAAATCCTTTGTTGTTTTTTCTCATTACGAGTATATTTATATTAATTTTAAATAATTAATATCTTAACAAAACTATTAGATGTGTACACTAATATTTTAAATGGTTTTAAAGTGTCTAATTATTATTTTTTTTTTCAGATCAACCTTTTCTTGAGATTGAGATTGAGACACGGTGTAGTGTCCAATCATTATTTTTAATTTTGTTCCAATCCTAATTGTCGATCTTTTAATGAGAATTATTCATATTATATGATAATTTTTTATAAGTATTTAAGACTTAGCATCTTCCTCTCATGATTGAGGAGTTGTGTAATATTCAATTATTAACCCATTTTTTCCCTTATTAATGAATTTTGTGGAGACTAATATTACATAATATTAAGAATCTAACTTATAAATAAGAATTAATCTCCTATCAAGTCAAACTATTCAATGTACGTAATATTACGGTCCAACTCCATCAAGTTAGACTCAGATTAATTAACTTAATAAAAAGAATATTTAATATTAGATTTGTGACAATTTTTTTACTTGGATCTAGTAAGAGTCCTAAATATTTTTCTAGAATATGTTTCAAGATACCAATAACATATAAACTAATCCAAATTATAGAGGTAATAGGCATGGCAACCGGGCGGGGCGGGCGCAGGTTTTGCCTCCCCGATCCCTGCTCCCGACTTTTTTAACCATCCTCGTCCCCGTCCCCGTCCCCGATCCCCGTCGGGGTTAAAAATTAAGTCTCCATCCCCGTCCCCGCTGGGTTTCGGTTTCCGCCCCACCCCGTCCCCGATCTATATTATTTTTAAAAAGATAATTACATTTATAATAATTAATTTTATTATGTATTTTTTATATATAAATAAATATTTATAATTTTATAATTTATAATTATTATTAATTAAATATACATTTTAATTTATTATATTTATATTAAAATATGTATGTAAAAAATATTTAATTATCTATATATAGAGAGAATATTTATAACATTATTATTATTATTATTATTATTATATTCAAATATTTGAATACTTATAACATTATTATTATAATATTGTATTCAAACATTTAATTATATATATAAGTTAATTCATTTTTAAGTTTTCATTTAAAAATATGGAATATATAGTTTATAAGAAAATATTTAATAAGTTAATTCTTATTTAATTAGTTCGAAGTAATAAAAGTTTAAATTATCAATTTCTTTTAATCCTTTAAAATACAATTATTTTATTAAGATAAAATTTGATATATGATAAATAAGAATAATAAGATCAAAAAGTATGACATAATAAAACCTAATAAATAAAATAATATTAGTTATTACTATGATTTATGTAAAGTATTTAGAAAAAGATAAAGAAGAAAAAAAATTATTTTGTGTTCATCAAATTGATTGAAAAGATTAAAAAAAATAAATAATTTGATGGGAGAAATTAAGGAAGTGTAAAAAATAGAAATGTAAGAGAGAGAATGATGTAATAAATTAATTGATATAAAAGACAAAAAAAATTAAAAGTGGGTAGAAGAAAAACAAACATTAGTGAAATATTAAAAAAAACCTTATATGTAATAAAAAAAGAAAAAAATACATTTAAAGTATTAATATTTTAAATTTTAAATTTAAATATAAAGTTGGGACAGGTGGGAATTGGGTTTAATTGCCATCGAAGGTAATATGATCGATTGAAAAATAATTTGTGAAAGTTTATCTGTAATTAATTACCATGCGTAGGTTGATATTAAAAGCGCAACATGATATCATGGATCGTACGTAGTGTTGATTTCATTGTAATCCTTGAGCCTGCCACAGCCGAAGTGGACAAGAAAAAGATTTGAAAGTTGATCTTGGACACAACAATTTGTCTACTCGCAAATGGTATTTTGACGAAACGAATGTAGACGAGATTAAATATGTATATATTGACGATAGTGAGTGTCAATTTCATGAAATAAAGAAACCATTGGGAATACCTATCTTTGTTCATTGCTTTTCTTCCACGCATTAAAAGACGAAATGCTTGCAAAAGAAGGTCGTCGGCTTCTGTTTGTCGTGGCTTGGGCAGACTTGAAAGGGCTTCAATCAAGCACTCATTTTGTACTTATTTAATCCTTTGCATATATATCGCCATTGCAATATTCACGGAATATTAATGTGCCTTGTACACCAAAAACTATTTATTATTATTATTATTATTATTAATTATTTGTACACATATACGATTTCTATGTGTAGCTTGATGAAAGGTGGAATTTTGGTATTTATGGGGTTCATTATTTTTTAGTCCACATAGCTTTTATTTTCTTCAAGTTCTCATCTTGTTGGACGTTACGACCCACCTATTCCCACTTTCTGAATATGGATAGAACCTTGTGTTTGGTGGCTGGCTCATATTTCTCTACTATTTTAGTTTTTCATTTTATGTTGCAGATCATTCAGTTTGAGAAATAAAAAATATTTTCTTTAATTCATATTCTGTGTTTTCAGAAAACGAAAATAATTAAAATATGTAGGGTTTGGTCAATTTCGATGAAAAAGCTAAAAAAAATTGTGTATAATTTAAAATAATAAGAAATTATTTTTATTTGTTATTGTTGTGTAAACACAAAACTTATTATGTATCCTTAATGATATTTTTATTTTATAAAAATAAATCTATATTCAAAATATTGTTCTATGTTAATTATAACCATATAATGAAAACTAATAAATATAAACTAACTATACCATAAGAACACCACCGTAAAAACTCCACTCTAACCATGGAAAAGCAATTCAGGTAAAAACTATTTGAATAAAATTAACATTGTTTCTTAAATTAAGTTAATTAATTATAACATATAGTTATCTTCAAAATATTCTTAATTGATATACATTGACAAAAATAATTGAAAATATTGATAATAAAAAAAATGATATATTTCCTTCAAGAAAAACACCCGAATCACAAAAACAAAGAGTAATCGATATATAATATATTGAAAGTCTAATCAGTGTGGGTTGCCTCTAGCTTTCTATTTTGTGATTGGCAGGATTGGTTTAGGATTATTTTGGTATATCTGTATATTATGCAGCAACTCGTGTTATCGCCCTTAACTGGGATTTGGTGAATTTTGCGTCATTCATCACCGTATTTGTATAACAAATATTTTGTACATAAAGCTTTTTGAAAAATAATATAAGTAACCCCAGTATTTTTTATGTAGAAGGAAGAAAGATATAGACAAAAAGAAGAAAAAAAAATGAATGGAGAGAAAATAAAAGATGTGATGTGATAAGAAGATAGATGGATGAATATCATATTAATTAATAAGAAGAAAAAAAGATACTACACAGGGCAAAATAGTTTTAATATATATATATATATATATATATATATATATATATATATATATATATATATATATATATATATATATATATATATGTATCATGAATTAACCCCTTCCAATTTTCGTAATTAAGAAAAAAAAAACATTTTAATTCAACTGAATGGGTGTGTTGCTAACTTGTTATTATCAGCTAGATTCTATGTGAGGATCCCAATTGATGGACAGAGAGACTTAAATGTTCTATATTGTTACTTGTTGGACTCACATGACATAGGTACTCTTACTGATACCAGACATGAAGAAAACAATAAAAGAACGAAGCCAGATTTTGATACCTTGGCTGCTAAAGCCGAGCAAGTCATGACCAAAACGTCAAAACACTTTTCCAACTTTCTACAGTGATCATTTGCTACGGTTTCCAGACCAACAATTTTGCCACTCACAATTCCTTCACTATTTATGGAAGAAACTGATTCGCCTGTTTATATCTTATCAGTTTTTTTTTTTTTTTTTTTTTCTCTTAGTGGATAAGTCTATAAAAGTAACGTAACAAAGAAATTCAGGACAAAAAGAGTTCAGTAGTTTTCTCATGTTACTTATTTTAAAACCTGATATGCATATGAATTTAAGCTCATAAAAATATCATTTTTTATTTTCTTTTTTACGAATACCTTCGGGGTAATTTATTCGAAAAAATCTTAAACAACTATTAGAAGTTACAAGCAGTTCGAACAAAACAAGTAACAACAAAAGCCAGGAGAAAATTTCTAAGCGAAAGTGAACTCTTAGGGTTTTGTTGGATGCATTTGTTCTTAGCTATAGCGGAGCTGTTATTGCGTTTGCATCGCAAAGTAACTAGACTCCTCGAACGTAACATCTTGAGCCATTATTCTCTGATGGCAAGCTTCGTATTCAGAAACCAAAGGCGGGTAAACCAAGGAGCTTATATCTCCCCAACTAGTGCTCTCTGTTGAAGTCGTGTTTGTGCTTCCATTGGCAATTTCCATTGACTCCAATCCATAAAAATCCCGCATTGATTCATCTATTTGTTGCGGGTTCACACAGGCCAGATCACTTGAGAAGTTCCCAAACCCTTGAAACACATTTGATGTATGACACGTGTCCGTGGTGATCATGTTCACTGTGGAGGGATATAGCTGGTCTTGTGTTACGGAAATGTCAAATGATGAGTATTGGGAGTTCATGGTGGCAGTGACTGTGTTGTTAGGGAAGTGTATGATGGATGACGTTTGATTGTTGAGATCAGAGTCTTGGATGCAAGCATATGCCACTGGAATGGGCCAAGAATTCTGTTCATGCGGCCAATAAGGAGTTCGGCTAATAACTCCCACAGGTAACAGAAAATCTTCACTCTCTCTCTTGATCTCTTGCTTTAGGCCACAAACTCTTCGAGCTTGAACTTGTTGCTCCTTCCTTTGCTTCCCTAGTAGCTTCTTCTTCAGCTTGGTATTCCAATAGTTCTTTATATCATTATCGGTGCGCCCTGGTAATTGCGCTGCTATAATTGACCACCTGCATATATTAAAACGCACAATTATTTATCACTCAGTTTTTAGCGTAATTACTAAATATGCAACATAAAATTATCCATTCATACAATCTTATGGGTTTGTTGGTTCATCATATGGTATTAATTATATCTCTGTGATAGACTAATCTAGAGTTCGATCCTCAGTTACTGTCCTCGTTGTTGTAAAGGAATGTCGAATTTTAGCATAACAAGAGGGGGAGAGGAGTTGGTATTTGACTATGTGGTGATGAATAATGAATTTACCTGCTTCCAATGTTAACATAGAGGCTGCAAATTATGTTGTCTTCTTCTTCTGAGAAACCCCCGTGTTTGATGTTTGGGCGAAGATAGTTGAGCCATCTGAGACGACAGCTTTTCCCACACCTTTTCAGACCTACACCATGCACAGCAAAAAGAAATCAACACTGGAACATAAAAAATTTGCTTTTGAAACGACATATGGAAATTAAGAACCAATGAGAGGAGTAGAGTAATTAAGAAAGATGAAAATATCAGTTGATATATATATTTTATCTGTATTGATGATTGATGAAAATTAAGATGGAGGTACCTATTTTCTGGGGCAAAGCTATCCAGTTGCCACCGGTGCCATGGTCTTGGATATAAGATTTGAGTTTGGCGTCTTCTGCCGGCGACCATGGACCTCTCTTCACGTTGGCTTTGTCACAGCAAGGAGCTCTCCCCATGTTTGCTTCCTATGCCTCTCTCTGCTGTTTAACTGATCACAGTTTCAAGTAAAGCCAGTGTTTATCGCAAGTTGATGCGAATGATGATAATAATTATGATTATATAAAGGAAGAGGGGAATAGCGAAAGAGAGAGTAATTGCCTCGAGCAAGAAGGACAGAAAACTTGCAACTTTTGGTAAAGGAGTTCAATTTCTTTTCCTCATTTTATGTAGTTTTTTTAATATTATGATGATTTAGTTTAATTGAAATAATACGTTACATATAAACAAAAAAAAATCACGATGATGATTTTTAATTGTATTTTTGTTGGCCGATAATGTTTTTTTTCATAAGAAAAATAATTAATATTGAAAGAGTAGTAGGGGGTAAACCCTTGTACACTAGTGTCAACTAATATGGCTGATAATATTTTATTTAAAGGCATCGTTGAAGTGAAGAAAAGAGAACCAAAGACTTGAGTCCTTAAAAATATGAATAAAAAGTTGAAACAGTATAAACATAAGGAAGAATTGGAAACCACACCATTGTCTTTCTTTATCTAGAATTAAAATAAAATAAAATTATAGCTGTTAAAATAGGTGAAATAATATAACTCATTTATTTATGCTCCCCATTCAAATAATCACTCCTATGTTTCTTAGGTCTCTCATGTATTATTATTTTATCAAAATAGAGGTTACTCATTATTGTCGCGAACGAATGGATGATGATGATAATAGTAAAATCATGTATGATGAAACGATGGGACCACGGGTACGTACAGCGTTAAAGTGATGAAACCCTCCAAATTTAAAGAACTTCTGAAAATATTACGACTTTACGTATCCATATAAAAATTAAGTTTATAAAACGTTTTTAAAAGTAATAAATTAATGCCATTATCAAACTATCTTTGTGGTTCAATGTATAGGCCAAGAGGTTTACATGATATAAGTGTTATGTGCTTGAGACATGTTTCACTCGTTGAAAAAGGAAACGACAAAAGAGAGAGAGAGATGGAGTTAATAATTGTAGTTTATTAGAGAGAAAAACCGAAAGAAAATTGATAATCAAGATCTAGCCAGCAGGCAATTCGTTTAATATTTTATATAATAAATTAGAATTGTATTTTATATATCAGCGCATATTTTCGTTATGGTTGGTGACCTAATGTCCACTACCTAGTAATTACTACGGTTTTTCAGCATACTTCCCAATTAAACACGGGTTTGGATTTTCGTATCAGAGAAAAAAAAATGGTAGAGTATGGTTCAAGTCTCTTAACAATTCAAGATCTTTAATTTTTGTTTACTTTTAAATTAAGATATTTAATCATTTTTACTAGTCATGTTAAAATATTACATGTCAATAATATAAATTATTTTTAATAAATAGTCATTATAAATGTTTAAACTAACATAACATTATTATTATTATTATTATTATTATTATTATTATTATTATTATTATTAAATATATATGATTCAATTATATTTCATTAAATTACAATTTTGACACTCTTTAGTTCATTATCAGTGATTTTGGTCTTCCCTTACTATTGTTTTAATCTTCACATATTTAGTTTAATTTTTAATTTATCGTATTTTTTATTTCTTTTTGTTTTATGCACTTAAAATTTTGTTTAATATATTCATTTAAATTATTATAAACAATAATTCAGTTAATTAAAATATAAAATATCACAAATACAATATACAAAATTAAAGATTAAACAAAATATATGAATTTTCTAAAACTTAGGAATTAAAATCATACAAAAAAAAGGTCCAAAATTGAGACAAAAATTTAAAATTGTCAAAATTACTAGAAGTTTATTTTTCCATGATATTATTATTTTGTACTCTAGTCTTCTGATTATGAATCAATATAATACACTTTTTCTTGTTTATCAATCTAAGCCAAAATGACATTAATTATAAATCATTATTAATGTGTATTTGGATGAGCATGGGTACATTTGATTCTGAACTAAATTGTTTTGTATTAAAATTGATTTTGAATTGATATTGCTAATTAAATCATGACACTTTGTGTGTTTGGACGACCATTGCTAAAGAATTATTTAAGTTTTGGACCTATTTATTATAAAAGCAAGTTTTGTTTCAAAAAATTGTTTATTTAGTAGTAAAATTGAATATAAAACCTTTATCCAATATAAAAAAAAATACCTAAACTTAAATCAACCTAAAATCAATTTTAGACCTAAAACCATTCAACACGTGATTTTTCTTCTATTATCACCTAAATACGTTATTTTCACAATTTTAACTAAATTTGTAAGTTCACACGTTTTATCCTTTAAATAATATATCTCATATATTTCAGTAGAGTCAAGTATATTTTTAAGGAATAATTAAAAATTACCATTCAATTTAAATTTTGTCATCTAAATATTATTTAAATCAAATTGCATTATTTTGACCACTTACGTCTAGTTACAAAACAAATTACTATATAAAATAGTTAATAAGATAAACGAGAGCGTATAAATTATTGTTGTTTTGATTCTTGAATTCAGTAATTGACTGATTCGTTGATGTTTAGGATGTCAAAGTTTATTTTGTATCTATTCATTTTATCAAAGTTTAGATTTTAATTTTAAAAAATAAACCTGTCTTTATGCTTCAAATAAGAATTAATTTCATAAAACGAAAATATTGAAGAAGAAAAAAACTGGTAATGACAACAGAAATACTGTAGGGTAGCCATGGTTAACATAATAAGCACTGGTCACACTTACCTATCTTAATGCCTTTTTTTTTCCACAAAAAATGACAAAATATAATTAACATATTGCTTTTTCAATGTACAAGTCAACAAGGTAGGAAGCCCACTATCACATCACTCACGAATTACACCACCTGGCCTATTTATTTCCATGGTTTATTCTTAATTATTTTCTATCATTTTTACAAAATTCACATGTTTAATTAAAGGGTTAAGCAAATTATGATTAGTGTGTTTAAACTTTCATTTAAAACTTCTAAAATATTATAATCAAAGGTTAACCATATCCAGATTACGGCTTTGTACTTCGCCATGCTAGTGGACTAGGTTCCACGATCAACGATGAGGGTGAAGTGCGAATAAAGAAACAGTGTTGTGGAAAAAGATAAGTGTTGGGAAAACACAAGAATAGGTCGAAAGATGAATGGGTGTTTTTTCCATGCCATATTTAAAAGCGTTTTCTTTTTAATGTATTACCAAATCCAATTTGATAATATCTACGAACATTAGCGGATTAAAAAAATAATAAAATTAAATAAAACTTTAAACTAAAACTTAAAAAAAGTTACATATAATTAAATATTAGATTTTTTTTTTAAGTATTTCTGAACTTTTTTCTTATTAAAAAGATAGAGCTTTTAATATGGACATTTCCATTTAGTTTCATTTATATTTTAAAATGAGTTAAAATTTTTATTATAATATAATCTTATATTAAATCAACAAATTAATGAGTTAATTTTTTTATTAATTTTTTTATGAATATTAATATATCTATACCAAATTAATTAATTAAAAAATATTTAAATAAAAAAAATATTTTTAAAATTTAAATTTTATTAATAAAAATAGTTTTTATTTAAAATATAATAATTTAATATATGCATCCATTCAATATTAAGAATTAAAAACTTATTCTTCATTAATATTATTTATTTTTTAGTAATTTATTAATTTAAAATAGTAATTATTTTTTTATAATTAGATATTTGAATGAGTAGTTGTTAGAAACTTATTCTAATATTTATTCTTTTTAGTTAAATCCCTTATCAAATTAATTTATAATATATATATATATATATATATATATATATATATATATATATATATATTTAATAAAATAATATTACTTATATTTTTATTTAAAATTAATTATTATTCTATAAAATTAGTTCACCCATAAGTCTATGATTTAATTTAGTGAAAAACTGATGTCAGCCATTGGTTAAATAGGTTAATTAAAATAAATTATGTTTAATTTAATTTAGATTATAAATTTTATTTATTTATTTTAATATATTTTTTGAGTCTTTCAAGTTAATCAATCAGATTAATCCTATTTTTACACAATATTAACTTTGTTAGTGTGAGAGTCTTTACCTATATTACTATCTGATTAGAATAAATTTTATTTGTTTAAAAGAATAATAATTAATTAATTAAATTATAAAACAATTAAGATGAGAAGTATAAGAGTGTTCAATAATGATTGCTTATAATATAAAATTTTTAGATAATTAAGATCTAAAACTCATCAATATTGAGCATAAATAGAAGTTAATTAGATTATATATGAGTGTTTAATGGATATCACTTCAACTAATTCAAAATTATGTTTTATGTAGATCCTACCATGTTATAAAATTTGAAGATTTGAAACATCTAAAATACTAAGTCATCAATATGGAGATTAAATATGATGATTATTAATGGTGAAGTTTTAAAACAGAAGTCACCAACAATGAGGATTTACTAGAAGTTTACAATGGTTAATTATGTTCTATAAATATCATACTTTAGTAAAGGTTGAAATTTATAAATTAAAAAATGTATATACTATTAATATGATGTGCGTTAACACATCAAATTTATTTATTTACAATGCTCACAATGAAACGCCTTTTTCAACTAATTCATTTATATTTTTACATTTCACACACTTAATTACTTTTTCTTTTTGTGAATATTTTTTATAACATCTTTTAAGTTACTCATTGTGTTTCATTGAACTTTAATTAATTTATATATATATATATATATATATATATATATATATATATATAAAATGTTACTCCTTCCGTTTTAAAATTTGTAAAATTTTGAGTAGAAAAAAATTATTTTTAAATATATAATATTTGTATAAGTTTAAAATTATATTAATTATTCTTTTATTAATTATATTCTTATTTTTTTTAGTTATATTTATTATAGAGAGAATAGATAACAAGTTACTTAAAAAATATTTTGATTTAAGAGAATGGTAAGATGATA